TGAAAGATAGTCACGATCCCGACGACGTACGGTAGAGCAGCGACAGGAGCGGTGACAATTGAAAGATGTGGTTTCACCTTGCTTCTCCATGTGATGATCTATGAGATGTCAATAATAGAAGCAGATGTCAGTGGTGCCGGAGAGGCAATTGCCGATGGCGCCCCATATGCCGAAGTAGAAGATCGGTTGAGATACTGAGCTTGTTGATTTGAGTTTCCCGGGGGTGCCGGTGGCGCCACTGGTGTCAATGTAGGTGGCGGAGGAGATGGAAGACCCGTCCTGTTACGGGCTTGACCGGGAGGTACGATGTTGTCGATAAAGGTGACGTCAAGGGTGGTGTAGTAAGATTCCGAGTTGTAAGCCATATCAGGGGTCGACGAGCACGTTGAGTGAGGTGTGTCCTGGATACTCGTACCGAGTTGAAGGAGCACAGCGACGAAGGACTGCAACATCGGCACTGCCTTGTGAAAGTACAGGGCATCGTACATTCATGGCAGAAGGGGCGTCCCCGACCAGATTTGTTCCCACAGCAACAAGTGCAGCGAGGCAGAAAATCTGGAGTTTAAGTAAAACACAACTATGTGGCAAAACCACAGAGTACGGGAAGCATAATGTAACTCAAAAACTTTGTATTTTATTGAAGTTTATGAGAGAAAACAATCACACTAAAAGGTAACTAAAAGGCAAAGCTTTAAGCTTAAAACTGAATGGTGAATGGCCAAAATGGTGGGAAAGAAACAAAATGGCGACAACAACATTGCGCCCGTAAATTACTGTGGCTAGAACCACAAACAAGCGATAAACGTGACAAATTACAAATGGGAAGACTCTAAAGGTAACAGCCCATAAACAGGTAACAATGTAGCAGCATACGATGAATGTAGAAATACAAAATGTATGCAAAATATAGAAACAATAAGCTCTAATTTCCACAAGGGATAAAAAGTACGTCCGTCAGTGGAGGTGACAAAGCAGTTATGAGTTTTGATATGACTTCATGACTTCCGGGTCACGTGCCGACTGTCCCAGTGGGGGGCTGCCTCCTGTTGGTTGATACAACTTTCTACAGCAGCTGGATCTCACACAGTTCGTCTCTCTGTCAAAAATCAGCAGTAATTGCAATACGGAGTATTGCAGTATAAGTTAAAACATATAGCATATTAGTGATCACGTGAATCTGTCTTTTATCAAATCACCAATGATCATTCCAAAATGTCGCAGATATCCCTAGACTTGCTTAGAATGTTTTGGAAACTATGCAAACACGAACGCCGAGGTGAACTTTCCGCCAAATTGGATAGTGTTTACAAAATCACGTTTCACGTGTGCCGCAAATGAGACGCCAATAACATTACGTATATTTCAAATTTAGCTGCAATACATACATCCTTGAATTCCTCATACAAATCAAGCAAAAAAAATTAGGTGTGAAAACTCGGAAAACTGCACTTGTTTGATATGTAAATAGCAAAATTCAGATTTTACACTGTGTAGCATTTTCTCCTATTTTGAGGTTTCCATTTGTCTATTCAATGCATGCACTGCTTCAAGGTTTTCGAGAATTAAAAAAAGATATGTCGCAATGATTTGGTAAATTCACCAGAAATTGTCAAAGTTTCCATCCTGAGTGACACCATGGCTGACACAAAATCCCGCCAAACAACAACGGTAGTTATCAGAAATTTTTACTATTTCTCTCAGTTTCAATGAAAAATATTACAACAAATAATAGTACACAGATTGTCATAATGTTTCTGATTACTTACATTTACATTACATTTTGTCACCCAATTAATTTCACTATGTATATTTATCAATCTTTAGTATGATATCATACATAGATATAGGCCACAAAATGTATGAACCTTTGATAATCTCCTGTATGTGTGTTTGAACATTTGAACAAGATTGATATGATTATAGTGTCATATGTGATATTTCTTTCCTTTGGACAAGTGTGAGAAGATGAAATGTCAATGTAGCTGGAACATTTCTTTTGGAATGTAACAATCAATATTGTAATTTCATACAAGTGTATAGTCGATGAAGTCATCTCTATCCCCCGCCCATTTTAACACATTATGGTCCAAAACCAGGTAACTGATCAAACATTTCTCTTAGCCCATGTCATAATAGCTGCAATGGAAATAAAAAATACACATTTCTAAAACTCTTTAATATCAAATGGCACCAGTTCTGTTCAGTATATAGACATGCAATGTTTGGCAAGGAAATATTTCTGGAAATAATGCCAAGTAATACAAATTTCTAAAATTCATAAATAGCAAAAGGCAACAATTCAGCATGTGTCTGATTGATGTGGAAAATTTCATCCGGAATCGAACCCTACCCTTATTGTTTTCTAAGTCCAACTTGTTGCCATGGAAACATAAAAAATAAATACTTCTAAAGTTCCTAAATAACAAAAGGCACCGGTTCAGTATGTGTCTGGTAAACATGCAAAGTTTTGTTAGAAAGTATTGAATGGGTTTTGAGTTACGCTCCGGAAATGAACTCTACCCTATAGAACCTAAGTCCAACTTGTTGCCATGGAAACATAAAAAATAAAAAAAATAAAAATTCCTAAATAGCAAAAGGCACCAGTTCACTATGTGCCTGGTAGACATGCAAAGTTTTGTCAGAAAGTATTTAATGGTTTTTGAGTTACGCTCCGGAAACAAACTCTACCCTATAGAACTAAAGTCCAACTTGTTGCGATGGAAACATAAAAAATATAATTTTCGAAAATTCCTAAATAGTAAAAGGCACCAGTTCAGCATGAGTCTGATAGACATGCAAAGTTTCATAGAGAAATATTTAACGGTTTCTGAGTTATGCTCTGGAAACGATTTCAGGATGCACACACACAGACAGACAGACGGACGGAACCCATTTCTATATCCCCAACAGGTTAATGAATAGCCATTTCATTTTATTTCAAAACTAAAACTGAATATATTATAGAACAAAATTGATAATATTTTTTGTTAAAATACCGGTATACACACATTTTGAGAAGAATTGTCTTGGTCTTGGAACTGTTTTTTTATGTCGATTGATATAAAGAACGGTGATGTCTAACAATTCACCAGGTGCACGTTAGCCACAAACAATTTACAAATTATTCCTCTCTTTTTGTACCATATAATCAATGGCTTCATCCTTTTTTAAATATTGTGATCACAGGATATTAAACACTTTATTTCACCAAGAACTGTAAAGAGTAAACCAAATATAACCATGCCATGTACCGTTTGTCGAACCGTATACGATTATCCTGATAGTTCTATACCAAAGGATCTTTCTTCGCATCTTTTATTGTATAATTCTGAGACGAGTAAAGAGAAATAATCACACAATAAAGAACAAATACATGTTCAATATTGAATATAATTTTGTTTGTTTTGAAATATTCTTTTGGATTGTTGATTACATAAAATTGTTGCCAAACAGGTGCGTGTCTTGTCCAATTAAGACACATAGCAAAGAATGTAATTGTTTGTCTATTCAAGACATTATTTACATGGTAAAAGCAGTCATTTTATGTTGTGTCGAAAAAGCGTCAATTTCCTTTTTACACATGAAGATTTTGCCATGAACGAACATTAGGGGTTATATATTAATCAAAACACCAGTGTCATCTTTCTCCAACATTGTCAAAGACATAAAACCAGCCATGACATCAATTAGAATGGTGTTATTTTTTTAATACGTCATTACATTTGATGATAAGGGTATTGCTCCATTAATAATGGTGCAACATTCAAATTACACTTGTACAATCAGGAGAATATTGGAATATATGGACTAATTTATAGGTAAGTTAGGGCCATCCATTTCGCTATTGCTTCCTTTTATATGAAGTTGGTTGGTTGGTTGGTTTGTTGTTTTACGCTGCACTCAGCAATATTCCAGCTGAATGATGGCGGTCTGTAAATAATCAAGTCTAGACCAGACACGCAATTGGGATTTTATACTAAGTACGATTTCATCATTCCTTATGTGTTTGTTTTTTTATACCTAAACGCATATAGTCTTAATATCGATATTTGTGTCAGAATAGTTTGGTTCCTCGTGAACAAAACACCACGAAAATATATTGTCCTTATCCACAGCTTATTCTCCCCAAGTGACCTGAATAAACTAGTGCTAAGCATAGCAGAGTTATGATCCCTTTACTTTGTACGTGTGTAACCTGCCGTCTTTTGACGTCTTAGAGTGAAATCAGCTTTCGTCATTTACGTCGTGCTTTTTTTTGTATTGAATGTATGTTATAACTAAGCATATAAATCCATTAGTTACGAGGGCTGGCTGAAAAGTTCTAAGCCTAACTGTGAAAGACCTGTACCAAATCGATGGTTTTCATTTATTTCTCCACATAGTCCCCTTCCAGGTTTACACACTTTTGCCAGCAATGCTGCAAGGCCCGGATGCTGGTCAAGAAGAAATTTTCTTCAGCCACCCTAAAAAAGTCATTCACAGAGGAAATGATGTCATCATTACTAGGAAAATGGCGACCGGCTAGTTCCTTTTTCATTTTGGGAAACGGGTGGAGGTCTGACGGGGCCAAATCGGGTGAATAACGGGGATGGTCAATGAGTTCGAAGCCACAATCATGGATCGCTGACATGGCAACCACTGATTTGTAAACAGGAGCATTGTCTTGGTGGAACAGGACTCCTTTAGTGAGCATTCCCTGTCGCTTAGCTTTGATAGCTGCACGTAACTGTCTCAGTAGGTCAGGATAATATCTTTCATTGATAGTCTAGACGCTCTCTGCAGGTCACATAACATGGCACAATACCTGGAAATATCTAGACGCTCCCTGCAGGTCACATAACATGGCACAATACCTGGAAATATCTAGACACTCCCTACAGCTCACATAACATGGCACAATACCTGGAAATATCTAGACACTCTCTGCAGGTCACATAACATGGCACAATACCTGGAAATATCTAGACACTCTCTGCAGGTCACATAACATGGCACAATACCTGGAAATGGCAGACATATGGCTTCTCTCCAGTATGGCGGCGCTCATGCTGCTTCAGGCGACATTGCTTGTCGAACACCTTGCCACAGCCTTCAAACCTGCAGGTGAGGTCCTGCCTGTCTTGAAGGTGTACTCGGGTGTGGGAGCCCATGCAGTTCGGAGAGAAGAATACCTTATCACATCCTGATACAGGGCACCTGTAGTGGAAAAAGATTCACGGTGATATAGCAAAGACTGAAAATGCTACCATTTGCAGTGTCAGGATAAAGCTGTTAAATATTTCATTCAGGCCAAAAATAGTGTCAAAGCCACTGTTGCCCACCAAGTGTATCATAATGTTCTTGAACTAAAGGTTATATAAATCAAGTAGGGAGAGGGCGGGGGGGTTGGGTCGGGGAAGAGAAAGATAAGAAAGGGATTTCCATTGCCACAGCCAAAATTGGTAAATTTTCTAATAAATTGTATAATAATGTACTTATCCTATCTCACACTATGTATTTCTTCTATTCTTCGATCTTGGTGTGGAAACGTCCTAGAACAAAGTTTCCAGCTTCAAAAATACCACTCACCCAAACACATCCCATACATCACCAAATCAGCACTGTGATCATGGTTCACGCACCACTAAAATCCCGTGCGACACGACCCCAGGGACCTGATCACCTGACATATCCAGCACCCTCCTTCTCAATCTAGAGTGTACAGGCTGGTGTAACTGTGATGCAGGGATGGTTGGATGGGCATTTAGCGTGTGAGATAGGATAAGTATGTAAATATACAATTTATTAGAAAATTTACAAATTTTTCAACTTATTCTATCTAACACTATGCATTTATCCCACGGTTAGATGGTGGGGCGCAGATATCCTAGCCTGTAAGGACCTCAACCGTGAGACGTACACGAGGAAGCTGGAACAAATCAGGAAAATTCAAAGGATTTTACAAGGATTAGTGATAAACTCGTGTAAGGGTTGCCTCAAAAAACCCTCTTTGTGCTACCAAGTGATATACATCATGACATTGGGGAATCATGTGTTCCATGGTTTCACAAATGACGCCGTTCCAGGAACGACCGTGTAACCATGAGCCAGGCGACACCTACTCGGTCACGACTCAAACCTCACCCCGGATAGGAGGTGTTTTGTTTCAAACACCACCATCCCCGGCGTAGGTTCTACAAGACATACCTCACACATACGCTCCCAAGGACATAAGGCGGACCAGCTTGGCATCTCTTTTTTCGCTTCGTCAACCTATCAAACTCACGTAGAGATTGAATAAGGTAAGAACGAGAAGAGGAAACAATCGATGATACCCGTTTATCACACAGGTTTTCAATCAACTTCTGAGACATCACATGTGCAATAGACAGAGGTGAGCAGGTAGAAGATCGGGACACCATTTAAACAAATGGCCACACAGGATGGTGACTTCTGTTGATGTAGACCCGTTTTTCACGCAGATCTTCAATCAACTACTGAGACATCACATGTGCAAAAGACAGAGGTGAGCAGGTCGAAGATTTGGACACCATTTAACAAATGGCCCAACAGACAAGCATATATACCCTCCCTCTTGTCTGGGAAACCCGATTAACATAAGCAATAAATGAAAATATTGCAGTATATACAGGAAACCAGACTTGGGACTTGTAGTCCGCTGGGCTTCCTCATCTGCGCTGTGTGGCCGCTGTGACCTTGGACGTCGGCGACTGAGATTCCGAAAGGAGTAGGAGGCAAAGACCATATCAGAACGCCAGAACATCCCACCATGATGGCTGAAAGTGTGCAATACTATGCAACGCCAAGGTGGAAGTCACTGCCCTCGTCTCATGAGGATTGGAAGCAGCTGGGATGGTAGTCTCTCAAAGGTGTCGACCCTGAGGCTAGTAGAACGCAGCCAGTGGAGATGGTGGTTCAAAATACATCAGAAGTTGCAGCCGTTGACAAGTGGATGAAAAATATGGATGGTCTGAGATGCCTTCAAGTAGATCTTGTAGGTTCAGGCTGGGCAAAGTGAGATGTCTTCCACGACATCAGCTCTCAATCAATGAGAGTGGTGGAAGCTGAAAAGACGATCCGGTTGTCCTTGAATGCTTATCTTGTAGAAGACGCTGGAACCTGACTCAACCGATGTCTAAGTACGAGTCCCTCTAACACGAGCTGCAGGAGCCAGCGCAAGCAGGAAGATTGTCATGAACGTAAAGTTTGAGGTTTTATCCACAAGTGGTTCATAGTCAGCCAGGAGAAGTGACGGAAGAATACAGGGAGATCCCATGCTGGAGGGCCAAGTCTGAAAGATTGGTCCATAAGGTGGTATGAGCGAATCAATGTCCGAAGGACAGCCATAGCGGAAACCTGGGAGCCTGAAGTCATGGTAACGCCTGAATTACTCGCAGTCTGAAACACCTGTGTAGATCTAACGGTTCAGGAACTATAGTAAGTTTTATCCCATTAGTGAGTAGTTGGTACAGAACTGATTGCTGCCCAGTGTCGAACCATAAGATGCCTTGTTCTTCTTCAGTGACATAGGTAATCTGCTACTTGTGGTGTAGTAGCTTGGCTGTAGAAAACCCTGGATCCTGCAAACTGGTGAAAACTGTTTCATTTATCGTCACAGAGATTGTTGCTGATTGACGAAGTGCTAAGGAGGCTGCCTTAGCTGCTCTAATGGAAAATCCTCTTACGAGTCTGCACTTGATATACTCCATACATGAAGTTCGTATAATTCTGGTCTTGGATGGACCTGATTGGAGAGATGATGTAGCAGTAGATGTGACCAGTTCGGAAGTCTTAGTAGTGGAATCCCTGCCAGTTTGACGAGCACTGGAACCCAAGTTCTTGTCAGTCAGAAGGCGGTACCAACAGCAGTTGTAGGTAGCTCGTGTAGGATCTTTGTAGTATCTGTGGTATCATGGCTGGTGGGGGAAATGCATACGCGTTTAGGTCCTCCCATGATATTGTCAGAGCATCGACTGACAAGTGTAACCAAGTTCCTGCGCAAACAATCGATTCCACTGTCCTTCACAAGAAGTGTTTCCTCATTGTGTTCTGGTACTAGGATGTTATTCTGGCTCATTAGACTTAATCCCAAGGAATGGAGGTCCTGGAATGGTTGTAAGTCGGACTTCTGATAATTTATTAACCAATGTAGTTGAGTTAATAATTTCCGGGTAAAAATTGTAGTCTGAGTAATTGTTGACATCAGGGCTTGAATTCCTTCGTCTAGGTAAAATGTATTACGGATTCCTGTGTGACGAACAGCAATTGGTTTAGTCACTCGTGTTCCGCCAGTGACAAGAGGGGTGGTTCTCCTTCCAGTGGTGGAAGTCCAAGCTGTCGTCTGTTGACTGGTGACGGCTGGAATGGGGTAGTGGAGTGGTCGTCCGAAGTGTAATAGCTATTACCAACAGTTGTTGATGTGGAGATGAGTTCGCCAGCAGATCGACGTTCAAGCACACATAACACAAAAATTGTGTTCAAAAGCGAAGGGAAAATCTTGACGGTCATGCGTGTGATCTAGTTTCTAGAAGAAAAACGTGGCGTTGAAGAGCAGTAGTAGCAGAAACCTCGCCTTGAATGGACATGGAGAACATTAGGATCATATATCGAAACAAAATGTCAATATTCACCAACTCTTGTCTTGAATAAGTGAGGGATGACTTGTCCTGCCAGGTTGATCGGTGATGCGTAGAACTGGTGAAGAGACAATGGATTCTATCGCCTAGGCACCGGAAAAAGCGCTATGCATTCCGGTATCAATGCGAGGACAAAAGGAGTTGTGAAGATGTGACAGACCGCACGTATAGTCATTGACTACTACTGTAAATGCTTCGCATGGCTCGCATGAGATCAGCCTGTACCAAAGTCAGCAAAGTAGTCTTGTTTACAAACAGCAATCTCGGCGTGATGTGTAATTCACCCTTGCGCAGAACAGGAAATACAGCAGTCTTTCCATTCACAATCAAAAGATCCCAACACACCAGCGGTGTCCCGAGTTACGAAAAACACCAGTGTATAGGCAGTCAGTTCCTTGTAGAATATGGGACGAAACCGGTGTAGTACCTAGGTGAGCCCCGTCTGACGCTAGAAACCATCTTCAGACATCGAACATTTGCCGTTTGTATCGATGAAAGACCAATGAACTCCCCCGTCGAATGGTCTGTTAGAATGGTGTAGGTTGACCACGGCGAGGGTGGATAAGACGTGCCAACTTATATGGAATATCAGGCTGAATTCAAGGGCGTCAATGATAAAGGTTGGCTGCAATAATATCAAGCCTGGGGATGATGTCGTCTGTTTGACGATTCAAATCTGAATGGGGGAGCGCGTTGTCTTGAGCGTCATAACCTTGTAATGGTGATTTCTAAAAGGAGAGTATCGTAAGACGATTCATGGCTGGCAGGCACGTGGAGTGGATCAAAGAAGATCCCGGTAGAGAAGAGACGTCAGTATCTCAAGCTTGCCATACGAGGTGTCTATGCCTGTAAGAAACCAACGAGACTGGTTGGTCAAGTTCGCTGATATGGTTGTTGCAGGTCATCGTATCCCAAGACGTAGGCAGATGCTTATGATGACAATCACTGGATTGTCTGATCCAGACAATGGAATGCAGCGAAGGCCTAGTCCAAGTTCACGTACAGAAGTCCGATGCACGATGAGAGAGAGGTCTTTTGATTCCATGGAAGAATGATGATCTTAGTACTGAGGACGATCTGTCGTTCGTCTGTTTTATATAACAAAGTTATATCTGGGATGACATCTTCTCAGTAAAGTACATATGCTCGTACTTTAAGGGGTTGAGTTCCATCCGGGATTCGAACCCACACTGCAAGAGTAAGGGACCTAATCGCCAGCACACAAAGTCAGCGATCTAACCCACTCAGCCACCGAGGCTTCCTGCAAGTAAAGTCGTACTAGCAGACGAGTTCTTGATCGGACAAGGTGTCGATGTATTGATTTATCCATGTGTCGACGTATTGATGTGTTGATGCATCGATGTGTATCGTGGGAATGGAGATCCCTCGGTATCGATCTGTAGTGATTGAGTGAATATGGTTTTACGCCACTTTAAGCAATATTCCAGCAATATCACGGCTGGGGAAACCAGAAATGGGCTTCACACATTGTACCCATGTCCGGAATTGAACCCGGGTCTTCGGCGTGACTAGCGAATGCTTTAACCACTAGGCTACCCGTCCATCCAAGAACAGTGTCTTGTCGATAATGGTGAAGTATGGTGATCTGTCAATCCCTTGATCACTCGGTCATTTACGATCCAGGTAAGGATGACAATCCTGTGAGTGATGATCCGTCGTCAGTTGGCTATCACTTCCTCGCCGACGATTGTAGTGTTTTCGGTCCAGAAGGGTTGTCGCCATTATTTGTTTGTTTGTTTGTTGTTTTACACCTCACTCAGCAATATTCCAGCTATATGACGGTGGTCTGTAAATAATCGAGGCTGGACCAGACAATCCAGTGATTAATATCATGAGCATCGATCAACGCAATTTGGATTGATGACATGCATCAACAGCGAGCCTGACCACCCGATCCCCTTAGTCGGCTTTTATGACAAGCATATTCATCTTTTCCGGCAAGTATGGTTGTCGCCATTAGAAAGCCGGAGAGGTGTAGCTGTATCCTCAGAGCGCTGCAGAGGCGATGGCCCGAGTAGCAAGCGTGTTGGGGAGGAAGAGGCAACCCTCAGCTGACGCCTTGACTTCCCAAGCAGAGTAAAGGGCTGTAGTCCAACACGATGACTGTGGAATATTGTTATTTTATGTGAGAAAAAACAACAATAACTAACAAAACAACAAACTAAATATGTATACAAAGGCATATTTAGCCAGTTCTAGCTAGCTTTATTTCACTAATGTATCGGCATCAGGAAATTATTTGTTTAATAAGATTTAATAAACTAAAAGTTAGTCTAGGTGAAGTGATACAGACGACAGAACCGTACACTGACCATTTAAAAGCGAGACGACTGTAGAAGCCAGGGAGAGGAAACGTGCACAGGGGCGTGGTCCGCACAGAGGCAGGAATCGCAGCAATCAAACAAGATGGAAAGCGATCCTCCTCAACAGACAGCGATGGTTACATCGCCGAATTGACTAATATCTTGTTAAGCAGTCAATAACACAATCGTTTGGGTTTCAAAGCGGAGGAAAAAACAACATGCACGAAAACCGTAAACAATGCCTTGCACTGACGAACACTCGCCTTTATCAAACACTTAGCTGAGTAAATTGAGATCCACTTCTGACAAGGTGATAGACAGTAGACATCGTTATTAATACCACACACTCTTCGTGGTAATGGTAAACTTTAGTAGTGAAGTCGTGTATATAAATTTTATAAATAAAAAAAATTTAAAAAAATTCTCTGTTCAAGTATAACGTCCGTACACCATAACGATAGAATTGAGAATGAGGGTACTGGATATGTCAGGCAGGTGATCAGGTCGCTGGGGTCGTGTCGCAGGGTGATTTGATGTATGGGATGTGTTTGGGTGAGCGGTGTTTTTGAAGCTGGAAACTTTGTTCTAGGACGTTTGCTAAAAGATCGAAGAATAAGATAGGATAAGTTTAAAAATATGTTTTTATTGCTAAAAGGACACATTTAAACATTCTTATGCATTTAATACCATAATGATTATATGAAGCCAGTGATAAATGTACTTTCTGACAAGTAAACTTGACAAATACATAAAAATACAAACTCGTTTAAAGCATACTGATTCCTAAAGTATATTTGGTACTTTCAATCCGTGGTAACAAAAGTCTATCAACACAGAGACGGTTGGGGGCGCAGGAAATGGAAATTGGTCTAACGGTAGCAGAAGAACAATCTGACCATAGTTTGACCAAGGTTGGAGTAAAACTCCTTAAAGGGGCACTGATCTAAAGAAATTCCCCGGGACTGGTTGTTGACTTTGTTATTGTTTTTTCCCCATGAGTATCCGGATGATACGCAACGTAACTGAGTGTGACAAGAGACTAGGCTACCGTCTGCAAAGACAGCTGAATAAACTTGGAGGTAATATTTGTTTTACGCATTTTGGATCACTGATTGGTTAACCTGATCTATTAAGATTTCGAAAAAGGGCGCATGTTAATTAATTTCATTAATGTCTTCAGCCTAAACAAACAGACAAAAAGAACGGCGGAGCTCATCGTATGTCGTCATTTGGAAATACCCCAGATGGTAATAGTTTAATCATAAAAAAAGCATCCATGCAGTGAAAGCATTTTCGGATTGCATCGATAATACGATTGCTACTCACTTGTTGTCATCCACGTTTTCTGATATAACCCTACACTTGTGTATTTGTCGTCATTCACTTGATGCTCAGTTAATGAATTTATTACAGGTATAATTAGTGGTAGCACCACTCCGAATACCTGACAAAGGTTCCCATTTGGCATTTATTATGTCTGGGGTAATTATTCAATCTAAATACAGGTTTGAAGTGAGGTAAAATGTGTGCTATGTAATATGCACGTGGCAGCCCAGCAAGAGATGAATGATCAGTTGATTTACTTTTTTGTGAATCAAAGGATCATTCCTTGTTATCAAAGGATTAACAGAAAAAACGTTGATTGATTAATCACTGTTATCTTGCACAGTGGATGTGTCAAAAGTGAGTGTTTACACGTCTAGGTTTACTAAAATAAAGGGCATACTCTCATATTATGGCGTGAAGTGCCGATGTAAAAACAACATACTTTGTTCGAAGGGTTAACCGATAATACGTTGATTGATTGCTCATTGTTATCTAACTCAATGGATTTTTTAAGGAACCGTGGACATTATGAAAATAGTTGTAACGTGGACTTTCTCAGCCGACCATTGAGACTTGACACCTATGTGAAACACCTGAAACAACCTTAGTGATCAGTTGAGAAACGAACACGGGTTATAATATCCCGAAACGATATATATATAGTTTAAAATATTTGATTGTTACAGAGACACGTGACATCGAATAAGTTTCTTTGTACAGCTGCAGACGTGTGGGATATTGTTCCTTTGTGTGGATATTCACGGATACATTCCTCGAACAAGGAAGGTGCCTAAATTTATACACATAAACTTGGTAGGTTATAACTATGACATTTGCCTTTTGTTTTCCTTCATTTGCTGTAGCATTGAACAGATTCATTCTTGTTCCCCTACGTCTTGGTTGGGAAATTCTTCGATGCGCGATAGACGCTGTTTTCACAAGTCTTTTTTTTGTAAGCGTGTATATATTACAGTCAATTTGTAATATGTGATTCTCTCAGGCAATTTATAAAAATGTGTAAATATTTCAGTCATTTTGACTGAAAAATCTGTCCATTTCTTTAACAGATTGACTAAAATTGATTAAGATGATCAAAAGGGCCTAAAAACATCACAATAGATTATGTAGGTTGGATTACAAGCCAAACAATATAGAAATGTACTTTTCATCGTACCATTTACAGTCTCTTGGTGATGATATTAAACATAAAAATCTTTTGAATTCGTTTTATAATAATACAGATGGACATATTTTTCAGTCAATTTGTAAAATAACTGAATATTTAGGCGTTTAATAAATTTCCTAAGTGAAAATTTTACACATTTTGACTGTAAGAATATGAACACAATAAAACAAGCAATACTCAGGAGAAATATTTACTTTGTGTTGCAAGTCAAAATAGTGTTAACGCACAATTACCAAGCAAGTGACTTATCAAAACTTCGTCACCATTACCAATGCTACCCACAAAGATACCTACTTTTCCTGCAGTTTATTTCCAAAACTGTATTTCATTTTATTGATCAATGTGACCATATGCCGTTATACTATCAATAAAAGTGACAAATGCGTTTACGAATTGTGCAGCTTAGGTCGCAAACTAGTCTAGATTTCTACTGTATCATCCGGGTACTCACGGGAAAAAACAATAACAAAGGCTACAACCAGTCCCGGGGAACTGCTTTAGATCAGTGCCCCTTTAAGAGACCTAAGTTGGGGCCCTCATTTGATTGTCACACTACTTGCCATGTGTGTACTTGTGGAACCTGGGAGGTACTTTTAAAAATGTCAGATTAAGAATCTTCTTGAGACAAGAGTGTCCTGGTGTATTTATTGATACCACTACCAGAAGAATTCTGGGATGTCTTAATAGATGGCCAATATTGTGTGGGCTATGGAAAGTCTCTTCTATTTCAAATGTTTACCCAATATTGAAGTGAGAGATAGACAATGATTTTGACTGAATCATGCACACCCAGTAACCAGAACTGTTTAGAATACCTCATGTTATCCTTTGATTACATTAGAAAACACATTTTGACTGTCACTTCCCCGATTTGGTTAGCGATGCCCTGATTGGTTTGAAAGGACCTATTGACAGGACCCATTATGGGATGTCACTCATCTTTGCCTAGCTGTAGCGAGAACACAGATCTGATTTTAATGAGATTGATGATATGATATTCCTGAGAGTGAGATATACTTGATCATGTTGATGGATCCTCAGGGATAAAAAAACCAACAATTTTTGAAAAAACCTCAGGGCATCCCCATTTACATGGGGCTCTTATTTATTTTTCTAGTAAGTGTGAAAACAATATTACTAACTTGTATGTCTTCTCCATGCCTGTGTGTGTTCGAACATGGAGATCTAGCTGGCGCTTTGTGGGGAAACACTGTCCACACCCTGGCTCTGGACATGTTTCTGTGCACGGTCTCTCATGAAGCTTTCTGTGGGAGTTGAGGTTGTACACAGTAGTGAACTTCCTACCACAACCATGAAAGTCACACTGCAAATAATGTTTACACATTTTACTCTCAGTCCATTCACTGCAAAGCAAGCTGTTTGTACTGGCATGGACTTATCCAAGATTCCAAACTAACTACCATTGGTATACAACTGGTTTTTTAAGGGAACAAAAATATTGCTTTTTTGCTCAAATTTGTAAGTGATATACAAGTCATGCAACCATAACATTAGTTATTACTATACAACATGATTTGGGAAATTTGTAATTCCAACTTTAATGTTTCCTGACATATGCTGCAGACTTATTATACCTCTGAACAGGCCTATATAAATCCCTGACTGGCATTTGTATATTAAAGAGATGAACATTAACACTTCAGCTAAATAAAACTTAAAATAAAAGATAGTTTTTATATTCTAGTGTTGATTGTCTGATCTTATCATGCTTATTTAAAATGTAATGTTTCAAACACACTGATACAAGAGGCATCAGAAGATGGATAAATCCCCTGGCACCTACAAATTCAAAAGAACAAACCATCTGACTGTTACTTCAAGGTCAACTTGTCCGTATACAATAGTCAAGGAGCTATCAAACCTATACCAAACACTTCAGGATCTGTTTGATATATCTGCCAAGTTTGGTTGAAAGATAATAAACGTTTTTTAAGTTGTGCTTCGGAAACGAAATCCACCTCCTGATGAGACTGCCATCACCTTAGCCCTTGGTGAATACATGTACCAGGTTTTGATGAAAAATCTTTCACAGTTTTCATGTTGTGCTCCAGAAACGACTCCTACCACCACCTTTTGAGACTAAGTCCAACGCGTTTCCAGGCAAATCAAGAAAAAGAAAAATGCCAAAAATCTGTTGCAAAAGGCATCTTTCAAGTTCTGTTTGATATATTTGCCAACTTTTGATGAAAAATATCGAACGGTTTTTGAGTTATGCACTGGAAACGAAATGATTACTGACGGACGGCTTCGACTATATTCCCCCTCATTATATGCCAGGGGGATAACAAGGAAAAGCATCATATTTATGTCAAGCTCACCTGAGTAACAACATAAAATATAGTGCCATGGCACTGGAGCTCATCTGGATAAGTACTCAACGGATTAAAATGTCAAAAAGAATGCCTCATATCTAAATTTGCTGTAATCTGGATGAAAGTACTGACAAATATGGAACAGGAACATAGTGAGGCAAAGCATTTATATCTAGCCACAAGTAGAGCTGGGACGATACACCAACTGTGCGATCCGATAAGCATCACAATACCTTGCTCACGATATAATACGTATCATGATACTTGCATGTGCTTTTATCTGTGGTGCATAAGCCATCTTAATCATAGACAGGATAGCTAACATTTATTGAAAAATACATTTAAGGAAAGAATCGGTACTTTTTACTTAGTGTGCCATTGTGATTAATACTTGTATTGAAAAGTAAAAAATCGCGATCCAGCGATGCATCGGTGTATCGTCCCACTACTAGCCCCAAGTAAGCAAAATCATAATCATGATGTTAACATTGTTTTGAACACAGTAAAAGAACAAAACAGTTCCTTTAAGTTGGACTACACTGTACTCATCAGCAGGTAACACTCGACCCTCATATTTGAGACCATTTAAGAGGGCTGAAAGAAAAGGAAGTGAATGGGCAACATTGCCCAAGCAGTAACAAGCACCTTACTAGTTTCATGTATACGCAAAGTCACTGTAGCTTGATGTGAGTGCAAATCCTCCTTTAAGCAAAACATGCAAAATAGAAAGCTTTAAGAGCTAAACAGTTGAAACAAAAGCAAATTCTCATTAGATTCAAGCCCACTCAAAGTGTGTGTGTGTGTGTGTGTGTGTGTGTGTGTGTGTGTGTTTGTGTGTGTCGACTCAACCTTCGTTAAACCGCTGATCATCTATATATATATATATAAACAAGTGATTTCATCAGGTGTTTAAGTATTAAATATAGAAAAAAGTCCAGATATTCGTGCTTGTCAAAACTCCTTTATCCACACAAGATCTTTCGCTGTTCAACGGCTCTTTAGGTGTAATGAAAACTTTAACTCACATTGTAGTCCTAGGCGACGCATAACAGTAGTATTTGTGGCGTCATAATGCCTATGATGTAATAGTGACAATAGAGACCTTTGACGTGAAAAGTTTGTATTCTAATATACCCCATCATCTAGGACTTCAAGCGGTGCAATATTGGTTATATAAGCATCCAGATGCCATTGACTGCACTTTCAAGCATACGTTCATCATGGAATCTTTGAAACGTATACTGGAGAACAACACATTCCATTTCAACAACAAGTTTTATCAGCAAATAAACGGAACAGCCATGGGAACAGCCATGGGAACAAAAATAGCACCCACATATGCCACTCTGGTAATGGGATACATAGAAGAAATGTTATATTCCAAAGTATATACAGCTAAACATATTAGTGAAACATGGAGAAGATATCTGGATGACTGTTTAATTATTTTGATTCTCAACAGTGAAAGAGTTACACAATTTCCGGGAGATTCTGGATTTGATCCATCCTCTGATTTCATTCACTATGGAATGTGACCACAATGAGATTTCATTTTTGGACGTGAAAGTTATTAAGCAAGGAGACCAATAGAAAACAGATATTTACTACAAGGCGACGGACACGCATCAGTACCTACAATTCAATTCATGTCATCCGCGGCACACTAAAATTAATATTCCATATTGGATGGCAAGAAGAGTGTGTGCTATTGTTTCGGATGTGGACACAAGAAACCGAAGATTAGGAGAATTAAAGACATATCTCCAACTACAAGGATATCCATGTGGAGTGATTAAAGACGCTGTAAATAAAGCAATGAAAATTCCACGAGAAACATTAATGAAAACAAAAGAAGCAGATATAGAAAAGGACATTCTTCCATTTGTGTGTATCTACAATCCTAGAAACTGTAAAACTATGCCCCTTATAAAAGCCAATCTTCCAATTTTACAGCAAAGTAAAACTATGAAAACATGTTTATCTAAGTGTAAACTTATACGCAGCACTAGACAGCCTAAAAATCTTAAACAAATTCTTTGTCCATCCAAATACTCACAAAATACAAAGACCGTCAGTGTAACAAAGTGTAACACACCTCGATGTGGAACTTGCCCAATAATAATTGAAGACTGCAAATTTCAATTTTGCCAAGATAAACTATTTACTGTTAAAAACAACATGAACTGTCGCAGTAAAGATGTTATATATGTTTTAACATGTGCGGGATGTGGTGAGCATTATATTGGAGAAACTGGTATGCAACTGAAAGATTTGCGATCCAAATGTGCGTTGTATCAATGTAAGCAAACACATTGATGAATGTGGGAGTTGTCATTTTACTGTCTTCCCGTTTTATAAATTGTTTAATAATGACAAACATTTACGAATGGAAAAAGAACAAATGTTCATTAGGCTTTTGAAACCTCAACTTAATTCAAAAGTATAATTTTCAAAACTTCCCCATGTAGCTCAGTGTGTATTTGTGCACACACCTTATAAACCTATTTATTGGGATCGCTATTAAGTAAGAGACTTCTTTCTATAGGCATTAAGACCTATTGTGAGGTTTTACTTTCCAGTCGGGTTAAATCTCCTTAACAGGGACCTTGTAATATCCCAGCGATTTTATTAATATAACTTCCGTTCAGATTGTAACATGTAATGAAATGTAAAATCAAATGACAAATGTTTTCTTTATATTCCCGAGGATCGAACTCGCAACCTTCATATCTGTAGCCCAGTGAGTGTACCACGAGGCTACAGAGGTGTTGAAAAGACTTACTGGTTTTTAGAATGTCCTTTTCAAGATCCATACGCCAGCAACAGATATTTCGCCCCCTTGGTTTTTCCCTCTCCCCAGGGCATGCTCTGTCTACCAAAACTGAGGGAAAGTGTTTTCTCCAATACATAATGTATTCATGCCTCCCGCTATTATTACTAGCTATGACGTCAAAAGCATAACGTTGGCTGTCGCCTAGGACTACGTTTTACTTCTCCCTCTATTGTCACTATTACATCATAGGCATTATGACGCCACAAATACTACTGTTATGCATTGCCTAGGACTACAATGTAAGTTAAAGTTTTCATTACACCTAAAGAGCCGTTGAACAGCGAAAGATCTTGTGTGGATAAAGGAGTTTTGACAAGCACGAATATCTGGACTTTTTTCTATATTTAATACTTATACACCTGACGAAATCACTTGTTTATATATATATATATTTAATACTTATACACCTGACGAAATCACTTGTTTATATATATATAGATGATCAGCGGTTTAACGAAGGTTGAGTCGAAGGTGGTAGATGACCAAGAAAACAGTATACATGCTCTGCCTACCTAACACGATCTACGTTGCACACTTCAGAGTTTCAAAAGAGATTAGAAAAGAAGTTATTTATGATTCATAGTGTTAAAAAAGATTTATCGAGTATTAATATGCACTTTCCAAAAAAAACAAAAAACATCGTATCCCTTCAGCAAATTCAGGTGAATAAACAGGTATAACAAACTTGGTCAATAAAAGTATGAAATTTGATATAAAACATCACTAGACATGGTGATTTTCCATTTAAAATGTATTTCCTGCTCTCAAAGGCATTGTTTTATATGCAGAGATTAAGATTACGGTGCGTGTTTTCTCGTAAACTAAGCCGAAAATAGCAATCAGCTGTGAACACGTTTCCTCCGTATCTACCGGTGATTCAGTAAAACATACCCAATGATACATCTTCAAAGAATTTTGATGCAGGGTTGTCGGAAGAAATTGTATCTAAAATCATTATTTTATCAGGAATAATATATTCCAATATCATGTTATTTTAGTTGAAGCTTCCACCATATATTCTTAAAATTGTAGGAACCATAAGCATAGCACTTGGGTACAGATGGTATGCAAGATATTTTTTGATAATTATTATAATTATTGAATGAAATTTTGAATATAATTAAAAATATATATTGCAAACATTAGTCCAGATAAACA